CAACTTTTTTAAAAGAAGGTGTTTTAATATTTAAAAGGATAGGTCGATTACTTATCCAAGTTTTTTTTAGAAAACTAAGAGTGATCTTGAATATATTAGGTGTTTTTTAATTATCACAATATTGAATTGAATTATCGCTTAATCCTCCTACTTATAAGAAAATTATTTAAATATAACGTAATCATACTTAATATGTTTAAAAATAAAACTTAAAATAAAATAATTCAGACGGAACACTCATCTTTGTTTATTTTTATGTACAAAATAAACATTTTTACATTAATTTTATGCAATCACTCTCCCATGTATTCCTCTTAAATCCTAGCACTTGAAATTTCGATACTGAGATCCTAGCTCTGCCGCAAATTGAAACTCTTTCATCTTTACTTGGTATCTGTAAGTATTAATGATCCAAGTTTCGCCTTTTCATTTCAGTTATTTTTATACGACTGAATCGAAGTAAGTTTGGTTTTTTGGTATGTGGGAAAGATGATTGAACCAGAAAGAAACTGAGATTGAAGAAAGGAGAAGAGAGAAGAAACGAATATTGAAAGAAAAAAGTAATTTGGAATTAATGCCCATAAACTATTTGATAAAATGCCTCAAACACGTGACTTATTACCAGAACACCTGAATAACCGATGAACATATTATTAACCACTTATTATGCATCCTATTGCATAACATGGTGTTTTCAGGTATCGGACTTGGCCATTTAAATGGATTAGATTGGGAAAATTGGTTGCTGTCTTAACTTTGTTTTTCCTTCTTCTTTTGCATGTGTTTGATGTAAACTAACTTTGCATGTGTTTGATGTAAACTAACTTTGCATGTGTCCTGTAAGCAAGTTTTTTACATTAATTTTCATTCAACAGACCTAGCTAACATTGGAGCCGAGTTCAACCCTTTACTTCTTCACTTCCAAAAAGTAGAAAACATGGTTGATAAGGACGCAGTTCATGCCCATCTGTTGGATTTTCTTAAAGCTATTCCCCCGGTTGAGTTTTGCTGTGTCTATGGCTCGGCTCTTCATTCGACCAATCCCGACAAGGTTCTTCTATTTCACTATCACTCTGTACCTACTTGCATTTCTTCAATTCCCCCCTTGTCTCTTAACTTTTTTTACAGTCAACAATGACCGATTACATGCTTGGTGTTTCTGATCCCCTGCAATGGCATTCTGAGGTGAGATTCATATTAAGCTATGCCACTGCTATTTAACAATTCTTTACATTGTGATTCCCCCCACCTAAATTTTCATCAATCTAACCTATTTGTCTTTCTCCCACCTAGAATCTAAAAATGAATACTGATCATTACGCCTCATGGATGGTGCATCTTGGTGGGGCAAAACTGGTCTCTCTCTCTCTATATATATATATATATATATCATCTGTACACGTTTAATTTTATTTTCCAATAACTCAGACTACAGATTGTTGGTTTGTAGATTACTGGTGTTGCTGACAATATAGGAGTAGGAGTACACTTCAACCCATATGTTACTTGGAATAACAAGGTATTGAGTATTAACAATGTGAGATCTTATGTTTAGTATGATTATTGAAAGGGATTATAGGTGTACACTTTAAATCTTAAATTTCTCACACTTTGGCTGCATTGCGGATGGCAGATGCTGAAATATGGAGTTGTTCGAATGAATGACTTGATTCAAGACATATTAAATTGGGAGAGCTTGTATTTGAGTGGTCGTTTACAGAAACCAGTATGTTTTCTTAAATGTGATTCTCTTTTTTTTTTATCTTGTATCCTTCTATTATATTGTCTTTTAAAAAAGTACTATAAAAATGGATATCATTTTCTAACTTATTGTTAACTGTCTTGAAAAGTTCGTCTCATGTTACATTAAATAGCCTTTGTTTTCTCGTTTGCCAAATGAGAAGCATATTCACCATTCATAATAGTATCCTATATAAGTTATTCTGTAGAGTTGATTTGTATTCATATAACTTCGTTTTTGTTTAGGTAAATATGCTTGTGGACAAGTTGGATATTGAAAATGTAAATTCAGTTAACCTTCGAGCTGCTGTGTCAGCTGCTCTCCTCCTCTTACCACCCAAATTCACAGAGGTTAGCTTTGTTTCTGTTTTCCCTCTTTTAAATATCATATTACCATATTTATAATCAACTCCATGTTCATTTAGGAAGACCTGTATGCCAAAATATGTAGCCTGTCATACATGGGTGACTTGCGTATGCTTTTTGCGGAGGATCGAAATAAGGTAAAACTTAAGTTTAAGATGAAAATTTGAAGAAAATATCTTGTAGGTTAGCTATTGACTGTGCAATTCAGCTTCTGAAATTTACATTGGTTTTGTACATCAAAGTTGCAGAGTAGTTTACTTAATTTTGAGTTACGAGCACTTTCAATTCTTTATTTGGTATGGCATTTGAGCTATAAGTTCTAACAAACAAATAATTTAATTCTTTTTTCTATGTTTTATTTATCAAGTTCTCGCCATTATGATTGATGTAAACCCAAACCAACGAAACTGTTCACTTACCATTAGTGCCTCTTACCATATTCCCATCTTCTTGGAGAAGCCAAATTAACCCTCTGCTAGTTACCCCTTGGTTATGGTGGTGGTTCTAAACCGTGTCCTGCTGCTTTAATCCTACAATATGTTCAATTTCTAATCCATGTGAAATGATTCCTATTCCTCCCTGTGAACTATGTTACCTAGACTTTTCATGTTTCTTAAAGTATATGCATCCAAAACATAGTTGAATATATGTATGAGAGTACGATCCTCTAAATATACGGAAAAAGTTTAATAAAAATAGGTATACCATTGTTGTCTTTTTTTTTGTTAATTGCCCACTGCTTCTTTTTCAATTTTCATTTAATCTGGTTTTATTTGTTACGATGCTCCTTTCAAAAAAAAAAAAAAAATTGGTTATGATGCAAGAAGGATATGTTGTTGATTCAGGTGAAGAAGATTGTACGAGGGCAGTTTGATTTATTCCGGACCATGTATAAGACATTTCTTCTAGAGTATGAAGACAAAGACTTCTTAAGATTCTCGTCATCTACAAATCAACTTGCAAATATATCTCAGGTTTATATGAATTCAAATTAAAGAACTAATTTGGTCTCATTTATTGCTCATATGCTTAACTAAGTTATCTTCTTCTTCTTCTTCTTCTTCCTATCTAGATAGAGCTTATAATTTGGTTGTATTTATTGCTCATCTATAAAGTTCCAAACAAAACATAAAAGCTTTAGCAGAAAAAGAAGTCCCTGCATTCTCTTTTATCCAAGTTTTTTTAATAGGTAAAAATGCAAATACTAAAAGGCACCGAGCTGGGTTGCAACTCATTTTTGAGGCTGACTTTTATATAACAAAGAACGACTAGCATCCTGAAGTTATCCTGTATTCATTAGTATTGCAGCCTGCATAGTTCAATTTACATGAACCTGGTTTGCCGTCAGTATTATTTTAGGTTGCTCTGTAGGTTTGAGGTTGGTACTTTTATCCTTCTCTGTATTTGTTGATTTCACCTCCTACGGGGAAAAGGGTGTAAATGGAAAATTTAAATGACATTGAACTTTTATGGAGAAGTTATCGTATATTTCATGCCATAGATTCGGAGCTTTGAGATTGTATACAAGATATCGTTTTCACTGAGACTATTGATTTTGATAATGTTCTCCGTTGAAATCAGGATTGTGGCTTAGCAGTGACATGCTCACACGTATCTTCCCTTCCTCCAAGTATTAGAAGTCGAATGGGAATAAAGAAAGAAAAGATGGAAGTAATTAGTAAATCTGGTAAGTGTACACTTACATGCTGTTTGCCTAGAACTGAATGCATTACCTTTTATTTGGCAAAATGCCAAAATTAGCCCCCAATGTTTACTGAAACGGTCCTTTTGGCCCCTCAACGTTTCATTTTAGGGTAAAAAGGCCCCTAACGTTTTGCTAGATAGTCATTTTGGCCCTTATTCTTTTTTCTAGAGCATTTTGACCCTCAACGATTCATTTTGGGGTAAAAGGACCCTTATTTTAGAGCATTAATCATTCATTAACTAACAATTTCCATCCACATAGGGGCCTTTTTACCCAAAATGAAACGTTGGGGGTCAAAATGTTCCAAAAAAAGGATTAGGGCCAAAATGACTATTTAGTCAAACGTTAGGGGTATTTTTTTGACATTATGCCTTTTTGCATTATACCCGCCACTAGTTAAGTTGGAGTAGTAGATAGATTCTGTTAAATAATTGACAATGGCAATGTAACTGTTGTTTTAATATGAGCAGGTGAAGTTGATAATAGGTTGGGGTTTGGGTCAAGAAAAGAGGCTGCACAATGCATGCAGAAGGTATTGAGGCGAACAGTAAGGGTTTCAAGTGCAAGGCAAGCTATATCAGGTGTACTGACGGTTGGTGGTGTTACAGCTGCTAGATATCTATCCAATAAAATGTGCAAGGCTTGGAGATCATGGACATTGAAATGATTGTCACTCTCTAAATCAAGGCTCTGGGAATGGGGATAGGGATGGCAACTTCACCCAAATCCGACCAGTTCCGATCCGATTTAGTCGGGTTGGTTTTTATTTTAAAAGTTTAGGTTCGGGTTTGGGTTGAAAAAATTTGACCCGATCTTACAGAAGCTCAATCTTTAATTAGGCCCTTGTTTTTCCTATTGAAAACATATCTAATGGAGGTAATCCCAAAGTGTATGCTGACATTTTGTTGAACAAATCATTCTATATTTAATCAACAAAAAACAAAACCACATCTTGTTTGTCTTATTACTTCTGATTTTGGCTTTTATTATCAGCGAGGTCTTTTCAATGTTTACGAAGAATAGATGGCATATTCCAAGCATTAGACATGGTCTCTTGATGATACATACTGCAAAAAACGCTTTGCACTTTTTTTTCCTTTTGATTGGTGTATGGTCCAAATGTTTTTGACAGGGAAACAACAGCATAAATGATACAAAACTTTAGGCATTTTTACCGTCGTCATCATCATCATCCTTCTCCTCTTGATTTTCCTATGTTCTCTTGTTCTTTGATCCGAAACGGATGACTATATAGAAACACAGCCTATAAAACACAGCCCAACCTAACATTATGAGAACATTTTCCCACTTCTTGAATTCTTCGGTACTGATTTTGAGTGAACTCAAGATCCCGAATCCTGTCACGGGTCTCATGGCTGGATCGTACCCGAAAACATTCGGGGTTTGATACTCGTTCATCAAGATGCCTTCATATGGATATGTCATGGTGGAGATCTTGTTCATCCATTTCCAGTACAACGGAATGTCGTGGCTGTTCATGAAGTAGCCGCAGAACAAGAAGAAGAGAGCGGTGAAAGCGATCACCATCGCGTACCCTAAGATATAATTTGGCACCACCGAGCTCACAAACATCACAAACGAGTTGGTGGAAAGAAGGGAGACGTAAAGGACGACAAAGAAATAGTAGAATGGTCCCCTAAGCTCCAAGGCTTTCCAAACAATACAAGCATAGACACCGGCTTGCAGTGCAAGGAAAGGAAGGTAAGTGATGAGGCCAGCTATGGTGTAAGCAGAGGCTCTATAGGCATTATGGGAAGTTTCTCGAACAAAAATGAAGCGCTCTTGGATGAAAGCTGGGACGGCATCGTTGGAAGAAAAGAAGAAGAGGCAGACGGTGAAGATAACGAAGCTAAGGCGATTGGTGATGCCTTGCATGCTGACTTTGGGATTCATGAACATCGTAGCCATCATAATGCCCATGACGGTTAGTACGACAAGTCTTGAAAGAAAAAGCTCGGGCGTACGCCTAATGTTCTTGAAGTTACGTCGCATGAGAATCCAAATCTCGGGGAAGAAGGAATTTGAGAATTTGGGACTCAAGGGATGAACTAAGGTCTTTGGAGCAACATCAGGAGTTAGGTAATCGTTTTCATTCACGGTATAGTCGCTGCTGTGAGGCGTTGGCGTTCCTGGAAGAATATCGCTCGAGTATGTGTAATATCCAGGGGATGAACTGCATAATTCCATGGAAGAATTTCAGTCTTATATATCTAAAATTTAAAACTTTTCCTCTGAAATTTGAAATTGCTTAAAAATACAATTGTTTTACCTCATTGGGTTCGGAGCTTTTTTATCGGTACGTTGCCTTGTTGGGGTGAAGATGAGTTGCTGCACCACTCCAATGTGGTTAGTACTCCATGACCTTGATGTATTATTGTAAGGGCTTCTCAAACTATGATCATCCAAATCGGTTGTCGAATCTTCTCTTGCTTGCAACGCAAGGCGCCAGTTATCTTTCGCTTGGTAACCTCTCCCTTCATTCTGATGCCGGCGGCCAAGGTTAGCTGGGGGTGGTGTTGGGGCAGCGGTTGAAACAGAGATTTGTTCTTCTGTCAGTTGCGGTGGTTTTCGTCCAGTTCTCGTGAATTCAGCAACCACCTCGACTCCGAATTCAGATTGATCATATTCTTGAATCACATCAATAAGGAACTCTATTGGACTTTCACCCTTGGGAACCTTTCTCCCCATCCGACTAAGATGCAGAGTGACATCTTGTGGTGATCCTTGATACATGAGCTGGCCACGAGCAAGAACAATCATATGATCTAGGAGCAGCTGGATTCTAGATGAAGGCTGATGAATCGTAAGGATCACTGTACTACCGGATCTTGCAATGTCCCGAACCTTCTCGATGACACTGTAAGCACTAGTGGAGTCTAGACCTGAAGTTGGCTCATCTAGGAAGAGCAAGGATGGTCCATGAATTATGTCAACACCGATTGAAACCCTGCGGCGCTCTCCACCCGAGACTCCTCTAGTCCCAGCATCACCTATATAAGTGTTCCAGGAGGACTGCAAGAATCGAAACAGTTAACAAAAAAAGGACTTAGAACCATGGTTGAAAGTTGAAACTGCAAAAGGGAACTTACTGTCAGTCCAAGCTGATCAATCAACTTCTCGACACGCTGTCTCTTCTCGCTCCTCGAGATCGGCCCGAGCCGGAAATCGGCGGCAAACATCAGCGTCTCATAAACAGTAAGCATCGGAAACAACCTATCGTCTTGCATTATATAAGCTGAAGTCCTTTTAATCAAACTCGGACTCATTGCCATTCCATCCAAGGACACCCTACCCTTAAGGCTTCCACTAGCAATACGACCGGCCAAAGCATCCAGCAAAGTGGATTTGCCCGCACCACTCGGCCCCATGACCGCGGTGATGAAGCCTTTGGGTGCATAGCCAGTAATCTTGTTCAACAGGTCCACCTCTTGGCTCAACCACTTCCCTTCTACCTCCTTCTTCTTTGTCACGGTATAGGTAAGATCAACATACTGAAGCCCTTCAGTGAAATTCACAGGCTTGTTCCCTATATCAATCACTGTGTCTCGAGCATAACCATTTCTATGAGCCATTGATATACACCAGTGGGGAACCAATTTGGGGTTGATGAGGTGATGTGGTGAATTAAAAGGAGGGAAGATGAGTGAGAAAATGAGGGGTTTACAGCTAGTGGGGAAGAAGAAGAATAAGGAGATAGTTCCAATGCTGCTGTCTTCAATGAAAAATCCAATTCTGGTAATCTTGATCGAAATAAGAAAAGGGTTTTCTTCTTGTATTCTTCATCCTCAATTTGTCTGTCATTCCATATCTTTGGATGCATGCAATATTCAGCAAATCAGCAAATCAGCCTGTATACTTGAACTCTTTTGAGTAATGTGCATGTAGGAAATGTATAAACAAGTGATGGGTATTTGTTTTGATATCTATGTATATTCTTATAATTTAATAAATCTACCTTTGTTTATTGGGACCATAACCTTGTTTCCTAAATAATATTTTTGTCAAAATCAATGTGAAAATGATTGGTTGAATTTTTTTTTAAAATGATTTGGATTTCAAAAGGCAGTTGAATACCCACGAACAAAGGTCTAACGTCCTCCATTTTATGGGTTGTACCTAGGGATGGCATACGAAAATATTTAGTGATTTCGTATACCACTCGTTTTAATTAGGGTGGGAATAGATATAAATTTAGTGGGCAGTTAATGTGTGGATGTAAAGTCATATCCGTTGTAGGTAGTGGGTAGGTGATGAGTTTGAGATCTTACTCGTATTTTGTATTCGCCCCCCTTAATTACGTACCATATAAAATTTGGATCATTATGAATTTAAGTATAATTTTAGAGACTATCCTATAAATCTTAAAAAAATTATAGGACGTGACTTATAATTTAATCAAATGTTAAGGTATAAACTCAATGAATCATTGGTTTATTTTATTATGCTTCTTAATGGATGTTTTTGTTTTGTTTATTACTTGTGTAATTTGAGATTAGTGTCACGCAGGTATATATGAGTACAAAATGGGTGGTGGGTATCGAGTTGGGTAGTGGGTGTAAGGATAGATTTGAGAATATACTCGCATGGACGATTGTGAATCTAAAATTTTATCCATCGTAAATGATGGATAGGTGGTGGATACAAAAATATTCAATGGATATAGAGATGAAAAGGATATTCGCACATGTCCCGCTCGTTTGTCATCCCTAATCAGAGTCTTCTTGAACAATTTCAGAACCCTGAGAGAAAACTAAAAAATAAGCCTAGAACAAGTATATTATTACTTTAAACAATTAATTTACATATCGTAGAAAAAAAATTAACTTTTTCGAACATTAGTTTCATTGTTTTATTAAGAAAACACCTTAAATACAACTAAGAGAATAAAAAATCGAACGTGGATATAAATTATGATATGGAGATTATTTTGAATAATAAATTATAAAATAAAGAATAATGTATTATGTTATCGTTAGATTCAAATTGCAGAAGACTAAGAGTTAAAGAATATTTTGGTAAAATAAAATAAGACTTGTAAAAAAAAGAAAAATATGATTAGATTTAATTCAAAATTAAATGAACTAACAAGAGAGATGGAGAAAATAATTTTTTGAAATTGAAAAAAATAATTAAAGGCCTTAATTATAAATGTAAAAATTGAGATAAAAAAATTAGGAGCCTCAATTATAAAGGTATAATTGAGACTGAAAAAACTTAGGGACCTCAATTATAAAGGTAGAAAGAGAGATTGAAAAAACTTAAGGGTCTCAATTATAAAGTTAAAAAAGTGAGATTAAAAAATTAGGGGTCTCAATTATAAAGGTAGAAATTGAGATTGAAAAAACTTAGGGGCCTTAATTGTAAAGATAGAAAGTGAGATTGAGAAATCATAAGGGCCTCAATTATAAAGTTAAAAAATGGGATTAAAAAATTAGGGGCCTCAATTATAAAGGTAAAAAAGGAAGAAAGTGAGATTAAAAAAATTAAGGGCCTCAATTATAAAGTTAAAAAGTGGGATTAAAAAAATAGGAGCCTCAATTATAAATGTGAAAAAAAAGGATTGTAAAATTAGAGACTCCAATTATAAAGATAAAAAGTGAGATTGAATAAAGTTAGAACATTAATTATAAAGGTAAAAAATAAAATTTAAAAATTAGGAGCCTAATTATAAAAATGAAAAAAATGGGGTCCTAATTACAAAGATAAAAAATGAGATTGCTCAATGCTCGGGGCTCTGTCCCTAATCTTACGTTCGTAAATGTATATGTGCCAATATGGCCCATATTGTAAAGGCCTTCTTTTCGCTTGTAATGGCCCAAGACCCGATTAACCCACTCGGGTGAATCCAACAATGTAATATTAAAGGGACCAAACATTGCTATTAATTATAGAGGGATTAAAGATATCTATGATCTTATTTTGGATGGTTTAATCTTTTATATTTAACTTTAAAATATAATATTTTTTAGGGTAAACTACATGTTTAGTACCTAAAATATCATTTTTGTTCCGTTTTAGTACCTAAATTTTTAATTTTTTTTAAAAATAATTCCTAAAGTTTACTTTTTGTTTCATTTTAGTACCTGTCGTTAAAAATTTAGGTACTAAAATGAAACAAATAGTTAACAATGAGGTACTAAAATGAAACAAAAAGTAAAAGATGGGTACTAAAATGAAACAAAAAGTAAACGATGGGTACTAAAATGAAACAAAAAGTAAACGTCAGGTATGATTTTGAAAAAACTGAAAGTTTAGGTACTAAAATGGAATAAAGTGATACTTTAAGTACTAAACATGTAGTTTTCCCTAATTCAGTTAACTAATATATCAAATAAATTTCTTGGGCAGATTCAATGGTAATGAGTGTTTTTCTTATTAGAGGTCCTGAGTTTGAGCATTTATATCCGTAATGTGTACGTTGTTTATTCAGTTATAAAATGATCACTCGACTATTCATTATGTTCCGGACTAATTATTTTATGTTAAAAAATTGATGATTGCCTAAGCTAGACGTTAACATGATGACCGAGATATGATAGTCATTTGAGATTATGGAAACTGATTTTATTATATTATAGTTAGCAAGTTAACATTCAACTTATATCACCATCAATTTTTTAACGGAAAAAAACAAGTTTGAAATATAAGGAATAAGTGGATGATCATTTTGTAACTTTTAATAGTCGATCGATTCAACAAAGCAACACTCTACAGTCAGAGGATCATTTTATAACTTTTAATAATTAAGAGACTTCATAAAATAATATCATATAGTCGGAGACTATTTGTGGACTTCACTCTTAAAAATATATATATTGGAAAAATTCATTAATATGAATTAGTTCAACTCATATTTAGGGCTGTTCATTCAGTTAAAACCGAACCGAATTAATCATAACCGAATTAACCGATTTTTTTTCTTTAACCGTTAATCAAACCGAATTTTTTTTCGAAAATATTAACCGAACCGAATAAATTTCGGTTAATTCGATTAATTTTCGAATTAACTGAAATTATTTTAAAATTTTCTAATTTATATAAAAATTAAATGTTTTTTTAAAAAGTTTATAATAAATTTAAATAATATATAATTATAAAATAAAAATTTCAGATAATTTTTTAATTAATTAATATTGATTTAGGTTTAAAAGTTATTGAATCTTAAATTATTAATTGAGTTTTAAATGGTTTGGGCTTAGCTCATATGTTATATATAATATATTTAATATTTTTAATTAAAAAAACAATTTACAATTAATTTAAATAATATATAATTATAAAATAAAAATTTTATATAATTTTTTTAATTAATTAATATTGATTTAGGTTTAAAAGTTATTATATCTTAAATTATTAATTTGGTTTTAAATTGTTTGGACTGAACCATATGTTATATATAATATATTTAAAATTTAAAATTTAATTTCAGTTAATTCGTGTTAATTAACCGTTAACCGAATTCTAAAAATTTTCTTAACCATTAACCGACCGAATTAATTCGATAATCAAACCAAATTAATTCAATTCGATCGATTAATTAAATTAGTTCGATTATTTAAACATCCCTACTCATATTTCTTGCTGCCCACGAACGATCCCAAGTCTCCACGCCAAGACGCCAACTTTCGAACGTTGACATTTTCCTGACCCATTCCTTATGTTACCCTTCAGGACACGAAATGATACGAGGACAAAAAAGTCATTCCATCACAAAAACCCTTCATGTTAAATAAAGCCTACCAATCATATTGGCTAAAACCCTAGCACAGCACCAGTCTTCTAAGGCATTTTCATTTCCCTCCTCTCATGGCTGCGTCCGTTCTCCGCCGTGCTTTACAGCGCCGTGACCTTCACTGCGCTTGCAGATCCGTAAGTTTCTCTCTTCTTTTTTGTCTTCCGTCAAAAATTAATTTTTTTGATTGATGTATTTTGTTTTTCTACTTTTTGTTTACTTATTTTACAACTTGATTCCTCTATTCATCAATGAGAGAGCGTTGTAGTGTCTTAGCCAACATTTTATGTTTGAAGGTCAGTTTTTACGGGTCGTATTCTTTAGATCAAATGATCAGATCGTTGATAAGAGAGAGCATTTTGGACTCTTTTAGTTGTTGGATTTAACTGTTCAGATTAAGTTGGATTGCTTCATCTTTGATTTGTTCAGAGCTGCCGAATTATAATTTTAGACTAGAATGTTTTAATACTTATGAGCGTTTCTGGATTATCTTTATTAATCAAATTTGGGATGGTATTCTTCCTATTCTTTATGATGAGATATTACTCTCTGTGTGTGTGTGTGGACTTTGCTGTAATTGGCTTTTGAAGCTTGCTTGTGTTTAATTCTTGTTATAGTTGACTGGAAATGCGAAGACATCATTGGCTAGCTCTCCTCTGGTCAGATGGGCATCCTTGGCTAGACCCTTTAGGTATTCTTATTGTTTCTTATATATAAATTCATTTCAGTGGTTTTATTATTTGCTAAGATATTGTTATTTCTGCATTACAGCTCAAGACCTGTTGGAAACGATGTTATCGGTATTGACTTAGGTACCAATTCATGTGTATCGGTGATGGATGGAAAGGTAGATTATATTACT